AATTGAATCTGAGACATCTCTCGCGATTCAGTGCAGATGACTCTCTTTCGCAGAGGCTCTCAAAGCGCGCTTGAAAGTGAATATTGCGGTGTGTTCCTTTGCGGATCAGGATTTATGATTTCTCCGTGATCATTCGGATGATGGTGCATCAAAAGAACCCATGAATCCTTGTCCATACTAGATACTACGATTATCAGTCGAGTAAGGCACGACGGAAGTTTGGTGACGAAGTTTTGGACTTAAAATTTCGGTGTCAGTCACGGGCAACTTACCTCGTTTCCATTGATATCAACAGCCGTGCGTCGCCTGTGGCGTCGCGTACAATTTCGCGCGCTTTGCTGTTAATGACATCAAAGCCGACAAATTGCCACTGGAAACGGAACCAGTTGCCCGTGACAACAACACGATTTTTACGTTAAAACCCGATGACCAAACTTTCGTCGCGCCTTACTCAACTTATAATCGTAGTACATGGGTTTCCCTTGATGCACCAGGATTAGATTCATCATGGGCTAAAATCTTGATCGGGACCTTCCCAAAAGAAAGCAGCCTTTCGTCTCAGCGGACGAAAGGGAACAGATGTGTCGCCGAGCTCCTTCTGGTCCGATTTTGAATTCTCTTTCACCACGAAGAGCCCGCTCCCAAGCTAGAGCAGGTTTTCACTCAGGAGTATGAATGGGTAACTGGCGACCTGAAAAATATTACCAATGAAAAAGACCATGGTCGCTTCATGCTACAGGCACTGAACCCTGTGAAATTTGTAAGAGACGCGGGGACCAAATGGTCAGCATTGAGTTGTTCTTGGGCAAGACACATAACTCCAACAATAAAGTATGTTAACGGTAACGGCGAATTTAAATTTGGGGGGAGCCCTGCGACGGACTTGGGTTCGAGGGTTTAGGGTTAGAAAGGGAGAAAGGGACCAGGGAGGGTGCCTTAATGAACTCCACCGGTAAGGGCTTCTTTACCTGATGCAAACTCTGAGAATGAGCTTACAGGCTGTCTTGATTTCTTGGATTAGTCGGGACTTAGCCATTTTTACCCTTGCAAGGTCGTTGTGCATCACTTTATTTGTTTGGGACCTAGCAGGAAGCCCTCAACGATTTTACACTGCCGGCTCTGCATCACTTCAACTATCTTGAAGATAACAAAAAATTCATCCAAAATCTTTATTTCCACTTCTTAAATAAATCTACAAGTTCTCAACGGGAAACAAACCATTAAAATTGTGTACATTTAAATAACAGAGAATTTATCTCACAAACGCACTTATTTTCGAGATCATTTCAAGGTCATTTCCCAATTTCATTTAAGATCATTTCCCAACGACTCTGAGAATTAAAGGAACTCAGTCACGGTATTTTGAGTTATTTTGGCCACGAACAAAATTACCTTTAAACTTAAGGAAACCTGAAAATAGTAGTTTACCAAGATAGAAAAACACCGAAGAGATATTAATAAACCATAAAGGAACACGGATGGTTAAGGATGGAAAAGATTAACACGGATTACAAACAACAAGCTTGAAATAATTCAGGCTTAACTTTTCAACCGTGACGTAGCTCCTTTAAGTTCCATGCTGACTGACTTCAAGAGCTTCCGATTCCTCTCATCCAATCAAAAAACAGCGTAAACAAACACCAGAACTACAATAGCTGTTAGGTGACATGACGCGATAGGGGCACGTTTGTTGCTTAGAAACTTAAAATGCGAAAATCGCGGGCTCATATCATGACACCTCGCAGTAGTTTTCATGCAGTAGAAACCTTCAATGTAATTGTATAATTCTCCAATTCGGGCTGGACCTTCGTTGTATTGCTTTTCAAAGCCATCATCAAGAAACGAAAATTTGGCCCCGCGAATTGTAATTTTGCTTCGACGTTGATAAGAAATTTCAAATAATATCTCACCCATGTTAACGTTTCGTGGTAATTTCATTTTGAAAAATAACTAGGAGCCTGGTTCAGAGTGTGAGAGTGACAAGAGGAAAACATTTTTCAATCGTCCAAACCAGGGTCAAGTTCACGCGGAATCACACGAGACTAGGAATATTTCGCTTTTGCAACTTTGTACAGTTTTTCTCAACATTTTTGGCGTATCTCTCGAGTCCAAATGACAGCAAACACCGATATCAAACTCAAACATTGTGCACGACTCTCCTTCTGATAATACAATCAATTCAATAATGAAAACGAGTGCGTTTTCCCAATTTTATAGATTTCACAAATCATCGAGAAATTGAAACATACGAGAACTGAACTTTTCCACTAGCCTGTGCGTTTCACTGTCTAATCCAACGTGGTTAGGTTTAAATATTTAAAGCCGGCTACGGCTATAAATTCACTGTATTTCGCGCCTGTTCTCTATAGTATGCTCCTATATTTTAGACTCTAACACTGCGAGATGAGAATGCCATATTTGGACTTTCCTCCGCTGGCACCAGCCTCTTCGCGGTCATCTTCGCCCAAGCTAGGGCATGAGTACGAGAGTTTGAGGCGCGAGCCCGTGAGATTTGTGTGCAGCAGTGACGTGGCTGGCGACATGGAGGGCGTCGTGCAGCGTGACGCACTGAGGTCACATTGTTCGAGTGTCCGTAACAGTTCTCCTTGTGTGACATTACCAATATCGTCACGCTCTGTGAAAAAAAAAAAGAGTAACAGAAGGCGTTACATAAGGAACATAAAGTGACAACGACAATATTCCGTGCGCTTGGTGATCCAGTGTGCACTTTCGAGAATAAATGCTGGAAAGTATAACAGAATATGAATTTTTTTGTCTTACAGTTTATGAAGTCGCTGTTATGTAAAGCATTTTTTTAACCTTCCACCCATCAGAATTTTCTGCCTTAGCGATTTGGGCTGGGATTTTGCGTCTCCTAGCCAAAGCGGTTCAAAAAGTCTTGGTAAATGGGCTTTGGTCAGATCATCACAACACAAAAACTGGAAACGCGAATGACCCTTCGTTGTAAGAGTCAACAGTCTAAGACTAACAACTCTCCTTTACAATACAGATTGAATTTGTACCGCAGACAGGTATCATTTTAGTAATTTATCGGAGCAGAATCTCTCTAACCTGTGTTTTCGCCAGGCAGCTTGGAGGCAATCTCTAGTGCTGTTGTCAGGTCCCACATCTAGACACCACACACACAAAAATAAATAGATCAATTTGCTTTGAGCGAAGAGCCTACTATAGGCGAACACACCAGTTGCTTTGGAAAGATAAGATTCTGTGTTCTTACTTGAATACATCCGTTTGAATGGCCTGTTATCAGGAATCGCCGGGGTCTGGAACCCATTCTGCTCGAGGCGTCACATTCGTGCACGCAATATGAAGTGATATTACTGCCGTCCACTGAGCGAATTGTGCAGATCCTGAAAAAAATAATACCAACGTTCTAAACAGACGCGAATGCATTCTGTCAAGAGAAATGAACTCTTGATTCTACCCAAGAGATTTTAAGACTCAGCTAGGCTGAATGGTTTAGGATGCCGGACTAATAAATCCATCTTTTATCTCTTTAACTTCTCAGCTTTGCGACGTCAATCAACCTCCTGAGTAGAGTCCCTGAAGCTTCTAATTATCGCAAGCTGTCACCATAAATTGATTCAAAACCTTACCATGTAGCAACCGCTAAAACAAGCTTCGTTACTGCGATCAGCATTGTATTATAGCGTTAGGTAAAATTAACGCGTAGTTGTTACCTTTTCCCTGTGGAAGAGAACCGTACGATCACGTGATCCGTGTCCGGTACAAGCTTCTGAATAAACACTTGTTGATCGTCACGCTCGCCGAATGGACCTGGGACCGACAATAGATAAGTAGGTCAGTTGGGCGTGTCAACACAACAGAATGAACCGGCGGTTTCCAGTAACACGACGTACTCTGATTGCATCAGGTGATATAACAGCTTTCTGATTTAATCTTTGAGACAGGCAAAAACGCTTCTTTTTGGCACAAGAAAATTTATTCGCTCGCCACATCAGCAGCTTATTTAAGTTAATTTAAGTAACGATAAGGAACAATACACATAAATGGCTCTTATTAAATGGCTAGCTCCGTGAGCGGGCAACATGAACCAAATCTTGCGCTGTGATTGGTCACCCGAGCGGCCAAGATGGCGCTATCTTGCCCTCTCGGATCTACCCGCTGTGTCCCGCAAGAAAAATTTCCCCGAAAACCGTATAATAAACCTTTATTGACCAAGCTTGTTCGGTCAAGATGGCTGGATACCGGCCTCGTTCTCGACTCCATCACAATCAGAAAAAGAACTTGGCCAATATCCAGCCATCTTGACCTCACGCTTACATGTTACTCACCGATGACGCTGCCAGCTGATGAGCTAGGATGTGCGTCCTGTGCCTCAAGAGAAACAACATTGAAAGACGCCAGGGGCGTGGAACCGGGCTGCGTGGAGATCATGCCGCGAAAGCGTGTCACGTTCCACGAGCGCACGTGATTGTATTCTGAGCAAATGGAGACGAGATTCTTTTCGCTAAGCATGACCTTCACGACGGGATTTCGATGAACCATGAATGTTTGGAAGAGTTGAGGTCCATGACCTACTGTCTCTGGATGTTGAACAATCACTCGCACTGTTCCTGAGCTTGTACCATATGCTATCTCAATCCAATTGCCACTTAAACCTGACAAGAAAAACAAAACAGTGCAAATAAGCTTATTATGTCAGTAAAAAAAATGCGTTCACTAAGAATCAGAATCCTAAATGGAAACGTAAAGGCATCAGAAGTTTTCTGTGTTGGAGTTGTTCTCAAATTACCCCTGGAACTGTATTTGTGTTTACTTTGTTTGAAGTTAATTTTCTCTTTTTAATTTTCTCTTCTAGTTCTGCGGTGATGGGGAAATTCCTTTGCAGATTTTATTTAACTCTTACACTACTTCCTCTGGAAACAAAGGAAATAGCAGAAACAGCATGCAGGCTTTTAAACTCTCAATGACTGGTTCTAAAAACTCGACATTCAGCGTGCAGTATAGACCAATCTGAGCAACGATGCTGTATTCTTTCCCGTGCTTACCAGTGGTTACTAAATGTTTTCCGCGTTCGCTAACGGCAACAAGTTTCCCGCGCTTTCTTCGGCTACACCATTTGGTAGAGGTTGACGAATTATGCTCCTAAGTGTAAGTATTATGTTCCTTGTATCACATTTGAAAATGGCTACCCTCCAAACTAAGCTCGATTGCGGATATAACGTCGTTACAGTGTACTTAGCTTGGGAAAGACCCAGGGTGAAATCCCATATTAGAAGGACGGGGGTGCTCGTCCTACCTTTTAGGGGTTAAGAAATCGGCTTTGGTGCCTTTTAGGGTATTGAGCCGAAAAAAATACGACAAGAGATAATGTGTTGTTTTAGAATTGGTACCTCTCGGGAGCGAAAAAATTTCAAACCACGCCCACAAAGCAGGATCTTGGTACCTCTTACAATGTAGGGGTTCGTTTCAAAATTTCCGACAAGCACCCCTGCCCTTTTTATATGGTAGTCCCCCCCCCCCTGGCAAAAAGATTATTCACGTACACGTCTTAGGTGTCAAGTACACGCTGAGTGCCGTCACCATGTCCTCATTGGGATCTTTATAAAGTTCAGTCACCAGAAGATCATTATCCTTCATTCTCAGTGGAAACTTCTGCATATCTACGAAACAAGAAATTATCTGTGTGATGCCACAAAGAACCAAGTAAATTTCGATTTCTGACAAGCAT